CTCAATGACAGATATTCTCTTACATAAGAGCAGATATATCATTCAATGTATAGATACTCACTGAGAAACTGAGAGCATCAGCTCTTGGAATTCCAAAAAATACTAGTTAATCAAGATGAAACAGCTCCACAGCACTATTATATCCTCTCTGATTAGAACTATCACTGATATCTCAACTTCTTCTGAATCTATATTAGATGAGTTATAATATACAGCAGCTTAAATCAATAAACTTCTTTAAACACTCACTGAAGTAGTATAACAAGAAGCACTCTGATTTCTCTCAGAATTATATGTAAGAATCAACATCTCAGAATATTCAATCAATGATAATAATACTCTACAATTTCATGAATAATACTGAGTCTCTCATTTCAAATTCTTACACATCTGAATAATGCAAGAGATGCATAATTTATATATAACTGATTATTCAGACTATGAACAACTGTATAGAATGATCTTCTAAGAGTTCTATTAATCTGAGATATTAAACAGTATTAGATACTTTATCTGAAACTGCAATCACTGTTCTTTCATTATCTCATGAAAGAACTGTAGAAAAAATCTGCTGAAATCACTTAATATTTCTGATAGAATCTGATAAGATATAGTAATTAACTTCACTATCAATCTATCTGAGAGTAAGAATTGTAGAAATATTCTAGTCATTATGAATTAATTAAGCAAAGGTGTAATATTGAAATCTTATAATAAGATAAATACTGAACAAGTCACTGAAGCTTTTCTACAGAGCTCATTCTATTAGATATATAAATTATCAAGATTCATAGTATCAGATCAGAGCTATCAATTCATAAGCACTCTCTGAACTAGAATCTGTTAAGTTCTCAAGATTACACACTGTCTGTTAACTGTTTATCACTTCAAGATCAATGATGTATCAGAACACATAATTCAGACTGTAAAGAATTATCTTTATAAGTTCTGTAATTACTTATAAGATAATTAGCATGATCTTCTTCTACATGCAGAGATTACTATCAACAGTCAAGATACTGTTTTAACAGATATAAGCTTATTCTTTCTTACACACAGATATTACATGAAAGTGTTGAATCTTCTAGAGACTACACAGTTCACACTGAACTCTCACAGTTCAATTCAGATCATTAATAATATAGTAATAAAGCTTCAAGATGTCTGTGATTGAGCAGAGGCCTCTATGACAACTGTAAAACAAGATTAAGAGAATCAAATTAATGTTTATCAAGACTCTGCTGAACAATACAAGATAGAAGATCTGATATAATTGAATCTTAAGAATATATAAATCACACATTTATCTTATACACTAGATTATCATCATATCAGATATAAAGTGATAGAAGTTCTAGATAGTTATAACTACTGTCTTAACACATCATCAGAGATTTATAATGTATTTTATACAAGCTTGCTTCACTGCACTATTATCAATTCATTTTCTTCTCAGCTGACTTCTGACTGACAGTCATCAGACATCATAGAAGAAGATAATGAGCTTAAGTGAGAGATTGAGAATATTCTTGATAAGAGACTTCACAGCTGTGACTGACAATATCTCATGAAATGAGTTAGTTATAATCAATCAATCTGAACTTCAAGTTCTGTATTATCTGAAACAATAGCTCTTGACTGATGAGAACTGCTTCTGAAAGAGAGAGACTAATGTGACAGACTGCATCTAATCAATTATATAGACTATTTCATTACACTTCATAGATTCTTTCATTTCTGATTACTGATTCTCAGTTACTATAAACATGTGTAACATACACTCTGATTCTCAGTCATTCTCAATCACTGATTCTCAGCTGCTATAAACGCATGTATATTCTTTCATCTCAAAGCTCCACCGCGTACATCATCACATACATGTATAAATATTCATCTTGATTGCTGATTCTCGCACTTTCTCTTTCTTTTCTTCTTTAATGTTTTTATCTTTGTTATATAAGACCTATCAATATTATACTGATCTATTCGGCGTAGACTTCTTACATTCAAGCTCTGTAAATAAAAAATGAGAGAATAGTAAAAGATAATATAAATTGAAATTTCTGATCTTCAAGCTTTATAAATAAGAGTAGATTAACTGTAATATTAGAAATATAGTGAATATTCTGCAAGTTAATATTATCATTCTCAATCTTTAAGATAATAGTCTCAATCTTCTTGATAAACTCAGTTCTCTCAGTCACAGAATTGATAGAGATGTTATTATTAAAAGATTTAATATTTGAAAAAGAATAAAGCTCACTCATCATATTCAGACTTATACATATATTTAAATATCAAGATCTAGAGAAATAGAACTCAATCTTTATAATTACTGTATTTACTACTGATTGAGAACTTATTAAGTCATTCTTCTTCTCTTTCTTCTTATCATCATTCTTCTTATTCATCTTCTTCTTCTTTTTATCAGAGTGTAAGATGAAATATCTATTAATAGTATATTCATATCTTCTACAGTGTAAGAGGCCTACGCCGAATAGATTGATATAATATTGATAGGTCTTATATAACAAAGAGAAAAACATTAAAGAAGGAAAAGAAAGAGAAAGTGTAGAAATCAGCAATCAGAGTGAATATTTATACATGTATGTAATAATGTATGCAGTGAAGCTTCAGAGTAAAAGAATCTATACATGTTTATAGCAGCTGAGAATCAGTGATTGAGAATGACTGAGAATCAGAGTGTATATATTCAATAGTGAAACAGAAGAATCTATGAAGTGAAGTGAAAGAATCTATGAAGTGTAACAGAATAGTCTATATGATTGATCAGGTGCAGCCTGTCACATTAGTTCCCTTCTTTCAGAAGCAGTTCTTATCAGTCAAGAACTGCTGTTTCAGATAACACAGAACTCAGAGTTCAGGTTAATTAATTATAGCTGACTCATTTCACAAGATATTACTGACTGCAGCCGCGGGGTCTCTTATTGAGAATATTCTCAATCTCTCACTCAAGCTCATTATCTTCTTCTATGATATCTGGTAACTGTCAGTCAGAAGTCAGTTGAGAAGAAAACAGATCAGTAATAGCACAGTGAAGCAAGCTTGTATGAAATACATCATGAATTTCTGATAGTATGTTAAGATAGTAGTTGTGACTACTTAGAACTTCTATCACTTTATACTTGATATAATAGTAATCTAGTGCATGAGATGAATATGTGATTCATATATTCTTAAGATTCAACTATATCAGATCTTCTATCTTATATTATTCAGTGAGGTCTCAGTGAACATTGATTTGATTCTCTTGATCTTGTTTCACAGTTGTCATGAAGATCTCTGCTCAATCACAGATATCTCAGAGCTTTGTTACTATATTGTCAGTGATCTGAATCAGACTGCAGAGGTTCAGTGTGAACTGTGTAATCTCTAGAAGATTCAACACTTTCATATAATATCTGTGTATAAGAAAGAACAGGCTTATATCTGTTGAAACAGCATCTCATTCATTAATAGTAATCTCTGCATGTAGAAGTAGATTATGTTAATTATCTTATAAGTGATTACAGAACTTGCAGAGATAATTCTTTACAGTCTGAATTATTCATTCTGATATATTATCAGTCTCAGAGTGATAGACAGTTGACAGACAGTGTATAATCTTAAGAACTTGACAGATTCTTGTTCAGAGAGTGCTCATAAATTAACAGCTCTGATTTAATACTATAAATCTTAGTAATTCATACATTTGATAGAACAGACTCTGTAGAAAAGCTTTGATAACTTATTTAACATTCATCTTATTACAAGGTTTTAATATTATATCTTTGCTTAATCAGTTCTAGACTGACTGTGTGACCGTGTCTGAGACCAGAACCAGATTTTTTAATAGTCTCATTATCAATTCAACTGATCTCATTACACAGTTTTAACATTAGATAGTAGTTTCATACTGTCTCAGTGAAACTTACTGTCTACTCTTATCACATTTTCCAAATGAGATCATGATTTTCACTTCTCAATTTAAATTATTTTTATTGCTTTAAATGACTTTAAATCTCATTTGAGTGTTACTGTAACATGGCGGAACCGAAGCAGTAGCTAGTCAGCAGCATCATATAGAGATAGTTGTTTGAGAAGCTGTATAAGTGAGCTTGACTATCTTGCTTGAATAGTGAGCTTGTAGGCTACAGAGTTATTACAAGAATATCACAGATATGATACTTAGTATACTAAGAAGATTGTATGAGACATACAGTAATTCTTGTATATATTTCAGTAGAAGAAAAACAAATCACTGACTTCTTTGATAAGGAGTCAGCATCTAGCTATTCTATATAGACAATAAGTGAATACTCTTCTCTCATTTCATAAGTAAGAATAGTCAGAGTGATATTTCAGCAGCATCTCATTATCAAGAAAGAGTAATCTGCTAATCTTATATAGAAGTAAGGTTCTTATATTCATCAATTGAATCTTTCTATAATATATCTGAATGATGTATAGAGTGGTTGAAAACCAGTTCAGATAGTCTGCAGAATGAATGAAATCATCTGCATGAAAGTAATGAGCTGTATGAAACTGCAGTGAGGTCTTGACACAGTCAGAGATATGATAATACTCTCTTCTTTAAGAACATAGTTCTGATGCTCTTAAGATTATCAGATTAGAAATTATCTTTGTTATATAGTAACAATTATCAACTGATTTAACAGTATATATACTGTGTATGATATAAAGAAATAGATGAGTTTTTCTGCTAACTGTGTAGATCTTTCTTTTCTCATCTTCATTCAATTCAAACATGTGATAAGTGAGTTCCTTATATATCAATTTAAAATGTGAAAAATATAGTTAATAAGTAACTTACAGATCTCTTAATATATTCTGTTCTATATATGAAATTCTCTGCAAAAGTGATGTATTTTTAGAGACATAGCTAACAGTAGTAACAGAATTTTTTGAAAAGATTCTCTCTCTCTATGAAACATTTTTCTTTCTCTCTTCTTAATTGTAACAGTGAGTGCATGAGAGTATCATTCTTGAAGAATAATAAAGAACTTATTCTGACATTTTCTAGTGAGTAAACATCTTTGTGATGTGGCTGCAGTCTTCATGACTGTCAAGAAAGCTAGATTGAAGGTGAAGATGATGTCAATAAGCTGTAGAAGTACTGCTCTTATTATCACATCTTCTTCTACTTCTCTCACAGCTGCAGTGATAGTTGCTGTGTCTTGCAGTGAGGTGTTGTCTCTTCTGCCAGCTGATGCATCTGTATTCAGTCTGTCCCCTGCCTTTCTCACCGCCATTGTGACGCCACCCCCTCTCTCAGTCAATACAGTAGTATATGACTCTATGTGGTCATTCAGAGAGAAATCTGAAGAGAGCTTGATTTCAGAAACAGTGACTCTGAGAAGCTCAATCTGTAGTTTCTCTCTCACAGCATGTCTGAGCCCTACTCAGAATGCTGCTGAGTTGAGTCTGCAGAGTTCTGTGATTTCTTCATCTTCTCTCTGTAAGAAGGCTCTGATGCAGCTTCTGACTGATATTACTACTTGTCTGTACTGTATCAAGCAGCTGAAGAAGAAGAGAATTCTATATATCTGCTTCTTCTCTCACTTCTGTTGTTTCTGTTATATCTGTAATAATGACTTCTGTCTCTCTGTAAGTATTATCTACTCTACAAGAAGGTGTTATGTCAGCTCTGATAAGAAGCTCAGATGTCTAAGCAGTACAGAGTGAGAATCTCAGAGCTTTAAGTATTGATAAATTCTATCAAGACTGAGAAGGTTTTTCTTACTCATCTGCAAAAGAAGATGAAAGTATGAGTCTTCAAGATAAAAAAACATCTCAGAATGACTGATCTCAAGAAGAGATCAGTCAGCACTGCTATTAAAAGTACTACAGAGATTAATCACTGATTAAAGAGAATCTCACTTCAGTTGAAGCAGATGACTGAGATGCTTTATAAGTTAATAAATTAATACTTTCAGCATCTCTTATACTCTTCTGCAGCATGCTTCTCTGCAGCACTGCAGTACTAACTTCTCAGCAGATAAAGATATCAGTGCTGAAGACTTCAACAGTGAAGAATAAGTTTGATAAGAGTGTAATTATTGATAAGTAGACTCTGATTCTCTCTTTTTACTTTTTTAACAGGCTGCAGCCTCATTAGAATAGCAGTGATCTGCAGATTAATAATATTAATCTTTTTATTAGTTTCAAATATCTCTTTTCTTTTAACTGCTTCAGAAATTTTACATCTGTGTAGTCTTATTAAACTTCTAAAAACTCTTTGAGAGAAAATAGAAGAAGAATGCTACAGAGTCTATAAGATATTAACTCATCACTGTAAGATTCTCTCTAAAAAACTCTTTAAGAAAAACAAGAAGTCTTAAATAGTATTTCTTACTTAATATCTCTGATGTATAACAGAGCAGTCTCTACTAGCTGTCTTATAGCTTATAATCTCTTTCTCAGTATTTTTCAAATGCTCAAGCAGTTCTCATAAATTCTCTGATAATAAATAATCTTTTTATTTAACAAGATATTAAAGCTTATCATAATATATTCACTTATTTAATATTTTCTTCATAAGATATTCAGTATCACTCTTAATCTTAATATTATTTAACTGAGACAGCTTCACTCTGAGATATTACTTATAGAGCTTCAAATAGAAAATGTAGAAAACAGAATGAATTGATTTCAATTCTGTGAGTAATTTCAACTTATATATCTGCTTACTTATCACTCTTATTACTGAGAAAGATTCTAGTCATTACTCACTGAGCTTCTTACACAGTTTTATTATCTTGATATTCTTTACTGAAAGTAGTACTTGATTCTCTATCAAGAACTTCATTGAAAGATGTTTTTAATTATAGTATTTTATCTATCACTTCTGAGCACAGTAGATGCTTTTCATCATCTTCTTATAAATTTTATTCAAAAGTTTCAATCTTACTTTTACTTCTGATACTGAGAGATACTTCATTCTCTGTATCTGTTTAATATTCTGACTGTCTATTTCTCTCTTTAAAACATTATCTGTGATGTCACTGAGTAATGAAGAATTATATTCATAATAAGTATAGAAAGAAGATATCTTTAAGATTGCATTCTTTACATTGTTATATACAAATTCAGTGATTAGAAGATATTTAAGCTAATTATTCTGATAATATAAACAGAACACTCAAAGATGCTGTTCTAGTATCTAATTCTAATATTCAGTCTAGTCATCAGTCTGTGAATAAAATATGATACTGAGAAGACATCTTATTATAAGATAATAGTAAAAAGCTGATCAGTATTTGCTGATGAAGAGGAATTCTCAATCTATTATTAACAATTTTAGAGCATCATAATTATAAATGATGATATCTAAAAACAGATCAGTCAATTCAGAGACTTTAATCTTTTTATAAGTAGAGATATATCTGATTATCTTCATGAAGCAGTCAACAATGATCAAAATCAAGTCATATTCTTTGACTCTTATTGACTTCAGCAGGTCAACTATGAAATTCATTAATAGATTCTGTTATAAGTTCTTTGAAATAGACAGTGATATCAACTCACTGTATTACTTATACTGTGAGATCTTTATTCTTTGATAGATATTATAAGTCTTAATATACTCTTTGACATCTGCTCAGAGCTTGTCTTAAATATATTTATATTTTAGAAGCTTCTCAGTCTTCTCTAACTCAAAGTACTCTGTATGAGAATTATTATAATGAATTCTCAATAACTTCTGATGCACTGCTCTGCTACAAGAGATGAAGACTGAATCATTCAGCAGTAGAAGTTCATATTCTTCTAGTTATCAGTAACTTAGTTTCTTAGCAGCACTGCCCTGCTCAGAGTCTGTCTCTTTCAAGTTTAAACTGAATTCTTTCTTCTTTAACTTTTGAATTCAAGCTGCAGTAGAGACATCTCTCTTCTGTAACTTATTAATAAATTTTAAAAGTAGTCAGATTGAAAGATTGTAGATTATTTCATTCTTTATCAATTCAATGATTATAAGATATGATATAAGAAGCTCATGATCTTCAGTGTCAGTTCTTTACAGAGACTCAGATTCTCTTTCATCTTCTATACTGAGTCATACAACTGTCTCTTCAGTGCTATTTCTGAGCTTTAGAGAATCTCAACTCTCTGCAGTCAGCTTCTTCTGCAGTGATGACAGAGGTTCTTTTATAGAATTCTTCTTTACATTAATAATATTATAATCAGACTGTTTAGACAGTGTGTTGACAGAGTTAAGCTGATCTGAACAGTATCAGATATAGAAATTATACTTCAAAAGCAGCTTTACTCATCTGGCTTGACATTCTATCAAGCTCTTTGTTATCAAGAAGTAACACAGATTTGTATAATCAGTGAGAACTTGCACTGAGTACTTACTACTCTGGAGATAATATCATCAGATCTTAAAGAATTTGACAATTACTAATATCTTCTGATTATAAGTATTATACCTTCTCTGTGTGAGTAATAACTTCTTGAAGAAGAAAGTCACTGATCTCTATTTATAGTATCTTATAAGCTCTGTGAAAAAGCCTTCTCTTACAGATAATTTATTATCTGTTTTCTCAGAAGTAATTATTCTCTGATTCTTTTAATATTAAAAGATCTTCAGTGTTAACTGTGAAAAGATTTCACAGATCTCATTCTCAGATGTATCAGTCTTACACTGACTGAGTAAGTTAGAGTTAAAGTGATTCAGTATCATGATATCTGTGAAAGCTTGTTTCAATTTCACAAACATCTGTGTAGTGTCTTGAGTGAGAATAAACAGTCTCATTTTTCTATCTTTCACACTTCTCTTTAACAGATCTGTAAGAGGGGCAGTAATTCATGAATATATATAGATGAATTATCTGTAGAAATTTGTAAATTCTAGAAACATCTGCATCTCACAGTATATTCACAGTATCAGTCAGTTCTTAATAATGAAGACTCAGCTTCTGTTCATTGAAATGTTATTCATCTTAATAATATAATCTAAGAAATCAATCTTCTGTATATAGAACAAGCATTTTTCAGTGTTTACATAGAGTTGATACTGTCTTAAGCAACTTAACACTTCTTAAACATGAGTATCATATTCTTTCTCTGATTTTAAGAAGATTAAAATGTTATCCAGATATACTATGCAGGAGACATTGACAAGACCTCACAGTGCCTTATTTATATAGGTCTGAAAGATGACTGAAGTATTACAAAGATTAAAAGATAAAACAAGATATTCAAAATTGTCATACTTAGTATGAAAAGCTGTTTTTTAAACATCATCTTTATTAACTCTGATTCTATGATAGATATTCTGTATATTAATCTTTGAAAACATCTTTGCTTCAGATAATCAATTGATCATCTCATTAATTAACAGTAGTGAATAGTGATTCTTAATCATCATCTTATTAAGGCCTCTGTAGTCTATATATAGACATAGTCTATCATTCTTCTTAAGTATAAAGAGTATAGACACTTCTGTTGAACTCTTTGATGAATATATTCAGTTCTTTGATTACACTTCTTCAAGATATTTGCACAGAACATTCAATTTCTTTACAGACAAGTTGTAAAGAGGCTTATACAGCATCATTACATCATCTTCAAGATGAATCTTATATTACATCTTAGTGTTAGAAAACTTTGCTGCTTTTCTTTCTGAAAAGACATTCTTAAAATCTGTAAAGAGATATTATATACATTCATCTTCAATGACAGATACTGCTGCTAATCTTACAGTGAGAGTGATGACTTCTTCATCTATTCTCAAGTCTTAATCATCTGCTATATAATATATCAACTCAATCTTTTTCTCAAGATTCTTTCAATAAAACTCTTTAGATTTCTCTATCATTATCTCTTCATCAGTGAGACAGTATCATCACATCTGAGTGACTCAGTCAATGAGAGAATTGTTTTCTCTCAATTACAGAAGATCTAGAATAATGTTCTTATCTATAATATTGACTGTGTGAAGAAGCAGACTGCTCTTCTTAAAAATTTCTTCTGAGTCTGTGATTATATACTTTGCTTGAATTATGTTAAAACAGTGATATTTCATTTTATTCATAAATTTTATATGATCTGATAGATCTATCTTCTTTCAACTCTTCATCAAAGAAAAGAAATAGAATATGAAGTTAACATTCACTCTGAAGTTGAGTAGGTATCTCACTAATATCTTCTTATTCAGAGTATACATTGTAATCATAATATAAACTTAAAGATATGAGAATTATCAATTCTTTTCTTTCTCCTCTTTATCTTCTGTAGATATGTTTATCAG